CTGAACCCAGGAGGCGGAGGTTTGCGGTGAGCCGAGATCGAGCCATTGCACTCCAGCCTGGGTAACATGAGCGAAACTCTGTCTCAAAAAAAAAAAAAAAATAAATAAATAAATAAATAATAAAAAATAATCGCCAGAGTTCAGAGAGTGACCATTCGTCTCATGTGTTCTTAAATCCTTTCTGGCTGAAGAGAGTGATTCCTTTTTCTTTCTTTTTTCTTTTTTTTCAACAATATGTTTCTCCATGAAGGCCTAGAGAGTGATTCCTTGAGAGTTCAGAGTAAGCCAGCTGCCACAAACTTAAGTAGAATAAATTACTTGGTGAATTGCAAAGTTGAACTGGAGGGCCTCCGAGATTAATCCCAGTCCCACGAACCTGTGAAAACCAGGTTTGTGTCTTTTTTTTCTTTTTTTAAATTGTTATTTAGTCTTTATTTCATAGTCATAAACTTAACTCAACTCTGCAATCCAGCTAGGCATGGAAGGGAACAAGGAAAGCATGGAACCCAAGGGAACTGCAGCGAGAGCACAGATTTTAGGATACTGTGAGCAAATGGGGTGGAGGGGTGCTTTCCTGAGCTACAGAAGGAATGGTCTGGTGGTTAAGATAAGACACAAGTCAAACTTATTAAAGTTGTCCACAGTCGGCAATGGTGATCTTCTTGCTGGTCTTGTCATTCCTGGAGCCAAAGTGCTCCATGGCCTCCACAATATTCATGGCTTCTTTCACCTTGCCAAATACCACATGCTTGCCCTCCAACCACTCGTCTTGACAGTGCAGATGAAAAACTGGGAACCGTTTGTGTTGGGTCCAGCATTTGCCATGGACAAGATTCTGGGACCTATATGCTTTAGGATGAAGTTCTTATCAAATTTCTCCCCATAGATGGACTTGCCATCAGTGCCATTATGGTGTGTGAAGTCACCACCCCGACACATAAACCCTGGAATAATTCTGTGAAAGCAGGAACCCATATAACCAAATCCTTTCTCTCCAGTGCTCAGAGCACGAAAGTTTTCTGCTGTCTTTGAATCCTTGTCTGCAAACAGCTCAAAGGAGACGCGGCTCAAAGGCTTGCCATCAACGGCAATGTCGAACACGGTGGGGTGGACCATGGCTGATACTACAAGGCTCCAGGTGGCGGCGTCTGCAAAGCCAGTTTGTTTCTTTATACTCTTAGATTTAATGCTGACAACTCCACTGTTTGTCTTAAGGGTACTGGAAGACTCCTCTCTAACCTGAATGGCTGTCCTTCAAATAGTAGGTCAAATTCCAGCAAAACAATGTCTGGTTAGCCTGCTGCATGGCATAGTGATTTTCATTTCACAAGTCCTGTTTTTAAGAATAATTAATAACAAACAAGAATTTGGGAGTTCATTGTAATGAGGCCCTCATTCTGGAAAACTCAAAAACAGTTCATGCAACTGAAGAAAATAACAGCAGAAGGAAAAAGGGCCTAGTGAGGAAAAAGAGGGCAAAAAACCTGCAGAAAAGCCTGGAAAGGTCTCATGATGCATCCCAATTTTTCACTGTGATACCAAGGAAAGAAGTTTCCAACCTGCTGTCATTTAATCTGCTGGGAAATCAGTGATTTCCACAAATCAATTTCTGGAGGAGAGGGATGAATGAGGCCGGCTTCAATGCCAATAGACTTCTTAGATCTTGCTATCTGCCCCTGAAGTGACTATTGGTTAAAATGCACATTGAGCTGGGCGCAGTGGCTCAAGCCTGTAATCCCAGCACTTTGGGAGGCCGAGGCGGGTGGATCACGAGGTCAAGAGATCGAGACCATCCTGGTCAACATGGTGAAACCCCATCTCTACTAAAAAAATACAAAACATTAGCTGGGCATGGTGGCACGTGCCTGTAATCCCAACTACTCAGGAGGTTGAGGCAGGAGAATTGCCTGAACCCAGGAGGCAGAGGTTGTGGTGAGCCGAGATCATGCCATTGCACTCCCGCCTGGGTAACAAGAGTGAAACTCCGTCTCAAAAAAAAAAGAAAAGAAAAATGCACATCGAAAACATTTTTTTTTGGCACTTTGGGAGGCTGAAGCAGATGGATCACCTGAGGTCAGGAGTTTGAGAGCAGCCTGGCCAACATGTCGAAATCCCGTCTCTACTAAAAATACAAAAAAAATTCACCTGGTGTGGTGGCACGCACATGTAATCCCAGCTACTCCAGAGGCTGAGGCAAGAGAATCACTGGAATGCATGAGGCAGAGGTTGCAGTGAGCAGAGATTGCACCATTGCACTCCAGCCTGGCTGATAGAGGTGAACTCCATGTCAAATAAATACATACATACATAGAAATTAAAAGTTATAATTATTTTTAGATACAGAGTCTATTTCTGTCCCCCAGGCCTCAGTGCAGTGGCACGATCACAGATCACTGCAGCCTCTACCTCTTGGGCTGCAGGTATCCTCCTGCCTCAACCTGCCTCAGCCTCCCAAAATCTGGGGTTATTGACATGAGACACCACGCCTGGCCGGATGCAGAGGCTTTTGAGTAGGCCCGGAGGACAGGGATTTGCTTTAGATCTAGGCCTCTGTTCCCCCTCTGCCTCTTACCATTGGTGTGACCTGGGGACTAACGGCTTACACTGTTTTTGAGCCGGGCGTTTCCTGTCTCTCAAATGGAGCTTGTTAATTTCTCCCCTTTCTGTGGGAAGAGGTAAATAGTGCTGAAAGGCGTGCTAGGCATACCGCAAAGACTCCACAGCAAATCCTGCACACAAAATCGCTATTGCTACAGCCTAGATCCCACGCGAGAAAGCACCGCAGGGGCAGTGGGCGGACAGCTGCGCCCCACGTGACCTCCCACCCGCGCCTGTCCGTCCCCTCAACATCAGAGCGTTGCCTTGCGGGGCTGCCGAGCCGCGATTGGCCGGGAGGCGGGGCCGGCGGTGAGCGCGAGAAGAAGGAGAGGGGGGGTCGGGGCGTGGCCTGGCGGGCCGGAGGCGGCTGCGATTGGCAGAGGGCGTGCCGGAGGCGTGGCCGCGGCACCGGGCTCCGGGTGGGGCCGAGGCAGTGGGAGTCGCAGTTTTTCGGCGTGCACCTGAGAGTCGACGCCCCGGGTCCTCGAAGCCTCGTCCGCCGCCGTCGCGGTAGCCATGAACCGCTTCAAGGTGTCCAAGTTCCGGCACACGGAGGCTCGGCTGCCCCGCCGTGAAGTAAGTCCAGCCCGCGGATAGCGCGCTGTCGCCTAGGGCACTGGCTGGCTGCCCCTCCCCCTGCCGGGACTCCACACGGGGACCCGCCAGGGCCTCCTGGAACCCCTGGGCCCTTCAACCCCGGGGAAACCTCCTTCAGGCCCAGGCCCGGGACCCGGCGTCTGGGCTGTTTCGTTGCCGCCAGAGGGCAGAGTCCGGCGCTCCGGTGACTCGCTCTAGCGCTCGGTGACCCCGGCGGTCTCCCCGCCTCGCCCACTTCTCCTTGGGCCCCCCGAGGCGGCGCAGCCCTGCTGGTCGGCCCCCAGATCTGCAAGGCCGCCTGCCTTCCCAGCTTCCGGTCGGCCTCGCCGGGAGCCGCGGCTCGGGGCGCTGCCGGCGCCTGTCTCCTCCTCCCTGCCACCCCGGGTCGTCTCTGCCCCGGGCTGCACTGTGAGGAAACGCCCCTCTCTCCTCTGGCCCCGGCGAGCCCGAGTGTGTCAGCGGCTGGGGGAGCGCATCGGCAGCACGCGCCCCTCCCTTGGGTTTCCGCCGGCGCTTCCTCCTCTCGCTGCTGGCGCAACCTCTTCCCTTATCTCGGTGATGCTGCCGCGGCTGAGTAAGGCCTCGGGAAGCCTGAGCAGGTGGAGCCCCACAGAATTGCTGAGCCAGTTGCCGGGAGACACTTTGGACCCCCGGAAGGGCAGGAGGACTGATGAGGGGTGTGCTTTAGAGACTATGTCCGCTCTGCTCTGCCCTGCTGCTTTCGGTGTTATTTGGAAGGCCTGGGAATTGACCTCAAGTGACCCCATTAGGGAACCAGAGCAAGTCAGGGCAGTCTGGTTGGAGGCTCCGTTTTTGTCATCTGGTTAATATTGCCTCTGCTCCTACTTTATGCTTTACTGAGCTGCTGGAGACATCGCGGTGAACACAATGGCATTTTCCTTCCCCTGTGGCGCTTGTAGCCTCATGAGAGAGACAGCAAGAAGAGCATTGCAGCTTTTCATAAGGACATTGAAGAAAGAACACTCCCGAGGGGCTGGGATGGAGAATGGAGGGGGCTGATCTCAGTAGGGTGGTCAGGAAAGGCTGCCTGGAGTAGGTGGCATTTCACCTGAGGCCAGAAGGGTGAGAATTGAGAAAGAGCCTGTGGAGGAATGGAAAGTGAGTCACAGTGGATGGATAAGAGTGGCTGGAACAGCATGGACAAATTAGTCTAGAGTGGTCCTGCAGAATCCCAGGGCCACTGGAAGAAGTTGGGTTTTACTTTGAATATAGTGGAGAGCCATTGAAAAGTTAGGGGGAGGGGCTGGATACCGTGGTTTACGATAATCCCAGTACTTGAGAGGCTGGGGTGGGTGGATTGCTTTAAGCTCAGGAGTTCAAGACCAGCCTGGGCAACATGGCAAAACCCCTCTGTACAACAAGTTAAAAAAAAAAAAATTAGGCATGGTGGCTCACTCCTGTGGTACCAGCTGCTTCCGAGGCTGAGGTTGGAGGATCACTTGAGCCCAGGAAGAAGAGGTCAAAGTGAGCGAGATCCTGCCAGTACACACACACCATTCTCAGCAACAGAGTGAGACTCTGTATCAAAAAAAGAAAAAAAAAAGTTAAGAGGAAGTACCTATGTTTGCATCAAGACAGTCAGTGACTCTGAGTGTGGTTAAGTACTGCTTGGAGGAGTCTGGAGAATACTTGAGGGGCCCTGGTTCCTGCTCCTGGGCCTCAGTCCAGCAACATAAACAGATAGATATGGAACCACAGACTGTAGGAAGAACTTAAAACAGTTTATGTTGGGGAAGAGGGAGAACAGGTGATCTGTTCTTTTCAGATATATTTCCAGTCACTGTGTTTATACAGTAAACACGAATCAGGAGGGAGAAATAATAGGGTGGAACTGACGCTCTAACCATAGCAAGTGAACATTGATCTAGAAACTTCAGGTGGTGGAGGTGGTTTCCGGGGTGCTATGGGTGGGTGGATTGGGAAACATGGGTGTTCTGTCATTGAGGGCAGGAAGGAATGCTGAGTGGTGCTTTGATGACAACAGAGAAAAGATGTGTACCTTGCAGATCTTAGTTTCAGAAAAGTGCTCCTTTGCCACCCCTTGAGTGGGGGTGTGTGCCTTTTACTCACTTAGGAGACTTTGTGGAGAGGTGTATCTTGATGAGGCCAGGCCCTGACTGTTCCCCTCTCTGAGCTTGGATGTTTTTCTCCTGGTACTTGGAGGAGGCCTGGCCACATTTTGCATTTTCCTTTTTTTTTGTTTGTTTGTTTTTGAGACTGAGTCTCACTCAGTTGCCCAGGCTGGAGTGCAGTTGTGTCATCTCGGCTCACTGCAACTTCCGCCTCCCTGGTTCAAATGATTTTCCTGCCTCAACCTCCCCAGTAGCTGGGATTATGGGTGCCCGCCACCATGCCCAGCTAATTTTTGTGTTTTAGTAGAGATGGGGTTTTGCCATGATGGCCCGGCTGGTCTCAAACTCCTGACCTCAGGGTGATGTGTCCGCCTTGACCTCCCAAAGTGCTGGGATTACATGTGTGAGCCACTGTGCCTGGCCCACATTTTGTGTTTTCTTTCCTTCTTTTTTTCTTTTTTTTGTGATGGAGTCTTGTTCTGTTGCCCAGGCTGGAGTACAGTAGCATGATCTTGGCTCACTGCAATCTCTGCCTCCTGGGTTCAAGCCATTCTCCTGCCTCAGCCTCCTGAGTAGCTAGGATTACAAGTGTGCACCACCACGCCTGGCTAACTTTTATTTATTTTTTTATTTTTATTTTTTTTTTGAGACGGAGTTTCACTCTTGTTACCCAGGCTGGAGTGCAATGGCGCGATCTCGGCTCACCGCAGCCTCCGCCTCCTGGGTTCAGGCAATTCTCCTGCCTCAACCTCCTGAGNTCTCCTGCCTCAACCTCCTGAGTAGCTGGGATTACAGGCACGCACCACCATGCCCAGCTAATGTTTTGTATTTTTAGTAGAGACGGGGTTTCACCATATTGACCAGGATGGTCTCGATCTTTTGACTTCGTGATCCACCCGCCTCGGCCTCCCAAAGTGCTGGGATTATAGGCTTGAGCCACCGCGCCCGGCTAACTTTCATATTTTTAGTAGAGACAGGGTTTCACCATATTGGTCAGGCTGGTCTTGAACTCCTGACCTCGTGATCCGCCCACCTTGGCCCTCAAAGTGCTGGGATTACAGGTGTTAGCCACTGCGTCCAGTGTACATTTTGCTTTTTCTAAGGGACTTCGTGAGTGGGGACAGAGTTTGATCTGAAGGAATATATCACGGATGAGTGTGGTGGCTGAGGAGGCAGAGGTTGCAGTGATCTGAGATTGCACCACAACACTCCAGCCTGGGTGACAGAGCGAGACTCTGTCTCAAAAAGAAAATAAGTAAATAAAGGAATGCGTCTCAATTGGTGCAGCTTTGAGCTAGGGTTCCCTGGATTATACCCCACCTCTTGCTTTAGGCATGTGAGGAGGTAGAGCCCTGGATCTCACCACTTACTTCTTTACTCTTAATTTTCAGGCCTGGATCAACGACATTCGAGCAGGAACCACCCCTTCATGCAGGAACCACATTAAATCAAGCTGCAGCTTGATTGCATTCAACTCCGACTGTCCAGGTGGGGGGTGGCCATGAGTGTGGAAATTTGGTCATCGTCACCATAGATGGGGTGGGGAGCAGGGGCAGGCTTAGTGTGGTTGGAGACTTGGAACAGAACAGCCTTTGGGGGCTCAGAGGTGAACCCCATGTCAGGCCTTAGACCCCCACAAACTGGTAAACATGCAGTAATCTGCTTTTGATTAGAGTATGTGTGTGTAGAAACCACATGTAAGAACATGGCCAGGAGGGCTGGGAGGGGACTGATACTTGTATTTCCAGCTGTCCCCTGTGCTCCTTGCTCCTTATCTGTGGGCCCTGGATGGCTAGGAACACAAGGCTTTGAAAAGCCCACTTGTTGGTTGGCACTGTCTTGATTGCCACTGGTAACTCAGACCTCAAGCTGGCTTAAGCAAAAGAATGGATAACGTTTCAGCCTAACTAAGAGGTCAGGGGTTTCAGGCAGATTGGTACCCAAAGGGTCACATGTACTGTCGGCCCTGACCTCTCTGGATCTCTCAACTCTGCCACCTTGGGTGTTGGCTTCTTTCTCAGGTAAAGATGGGAAAAGTGGCAAATGGTAGCCATAAACCCCATACAAAAGCCCCAAGCCCCTTTTGTATGACTCGTGTGAAAAAGAGAGGACCTCTTGCCTAAGGTCTTCTGTATCCATCCGAAGCATGGATGGTTCATGCATGGATCCAGAACCCACCTGTGGGGCATCACTGTGTGCAGAGGATGTGATCTTGTGATTGGTGGAGGCTCTGGGAAGGTCCGAGGCTGAGCTGCTGGGTCTCGTCTCTTCTGGGAGGCCTGGGCAGGGAGGTTGGTGGTCCTCTGGGGCCTGAAGTCAGAGCCCCTGTGTTTGTTCAACAGGTGTACTTGGCATTGTGCCTCTGCAAGGCCAAGGAGAGGACAAGCGATGCGTGGCCCACCTGGGCTGCCATTCAGGTGAGTGGGTGCCTGTCTAGTGGGTGAAGCCTGGTACTTGTACCTCCCTCCCCAGGGCCAGAAATTCATCCTCACCTGGTCCCACCACCCCATGGCTTGCCAGGTCCCTCCTGTGCATTCTCTGAGAGACGGTGGGGCTCAGAAGGCATCATCCTGGTGTAGAATTCTGGCCTTGGCAGAGAGGAGGGAAGCTGTGTGCTCCAGTTGTGAACTGGGCAGAGCGGAGTGTGCAGTGGCCACTCCTAGGCTCCAGGCTAATGCTGGCTCCCTGTCCCTGCCAAGGACTCCTTGCTGGATGGCTCTGAGCCCTGCATCTCCTGGAGCCCCCAGTCCACGAGGCATCCTCCCCAGAACAGCTGCCCAGGAGGCGACTGTGCTGGGCTTCAGGGGTCAAGATGGGCCCTCACAAAGAGACCTTTTGTCTGCTGCAGCTGCTTCTGGGGGCACCCAGCAGCCTGCCTGGCAGCCTGCCTGCCTTGAGGGAACAGTTTGCTCTCCTCAGATGGAGGCAGAGTGGCCCAGCTGGCGTCGCCTCTCCCTGTCCAGCCACGGTGGCCACGGGCCCAGTCTTTCTGGCCTGCATTCCCATCTGCTTGGGGAGGCCTTCGGGTGAGGAAGGGCGGCTGATGCCTGGTCCTCAGGCTGGGTGTGCAGGGCCGCGGAGGGGTTCTGATGATGATAATGATGGTAGTTATTAACAACAGTAAAGATTTATGGAGAGTGTTCTCTGTACTAAGTACTTCAGTTCAGTTTTCTCATCTAAACTTTTTAAAAAAGACTTTAAAAAAGTATATAGAGATGAGGTCTTGCTCTGTTACCCCTTCAGCTAATTTTTAAAAATTTTTTGTAAAATAGGGTCTTGCTATATTGCCCCGGCTGTTCTTGAACTCCTGGCCTCAATCTGTCCTCCCACCTTGGCCTCCCAAAGTGTTGAGGCTGGTTGGATTACCTGTTTTAAGTAAAGAGCCTGATAATTCTTACTAAAGTTACCAAGTCATGCGCACTGCCATCCAATTTTAGAACATTTCCATCATTCCCAAAAGATCCCACGTGCCCCTTTGCAGTTAATCTGTTTCCACCTCAGTTACCACAGCCTCAGGCAACATCTGATCTGCTTCCTGCCTCTGTAGCAGAGGTCTGCAAACCACTGTCACGGTCAGATCCAGCTGGCTGCCTGTTTTTGTAAATAGTTTTATTGGAACACTGCCACACCCATTCATTGATGTATAGTCTGTGGCTGCTTTCTTGCAACAACTGCAGAGTTGAGTTGTGACCGAGACTGTTGAGCCCTGAAATCCTAGAATATTTACTACCTTGCCCTTTGCAGGAGATATTTACTGACCTCTGCTCTATCGAGTGGCCTTTCCTGCGCATCTCATGTAAACAGAATCACACAATACACGGTCTTTTGAATCTGGCATCTTTCACGTAGTATGTTTTAGAGATCCATCTGTGTTGCAGCTTGTATAACAAGTCTGTGTTCTCATCTAATCTCAAATCTCTTTGAAATAGATTTTATTTTATTTATTTATTTATTTTTTTTGAGACGGAGTTTCGCTCTTGTTACCCAGGCTGGAGTGCAATGGCGCGATCTCAGCTCACCGCAACCTCCGCCTCCCGGGTTCAGGCAATTCTCCTGCCCCAGCCTCCTGAGTCGCTGGGATTACAGGCACGCGCCACCATGCCCAGCTAATT